TGTTCTACTCCATCCGTCTCGTTATTTTCTACACTCCACTGGATCCCTGTTTGTGACATTATTAAGTATAAAAACTCCAGTTGCTATCTTCTATTTTTCTTAATCCTGAAGCCCCTCTATGTCTTAGAAATTCTCCTTTGTATCTGCAAACAGTGCTCATATGACCAGGGTGCCGATCAGGAAACTTAGTGGTCCCTCAGCCCCGAACAAACTCTGGCAAGTGCATGTTCTCCTTTACAGCTGCTATTCTTTTAATGCACTACCCTTGAGATCAAACAGCTTGTAAGAACTCCTCTAGTCTCGCCTAATGCTCTGATTTCTTTCTCTGCTTTTTTTTAAGCGCAAGCTACGTGAACTTTTCATTCAAAAACTCAATTCCGTTGCCCATCTCGAAGAACTTTGCTGTTTTGCATGCCGTTTCCTGCTTTACTGCAATTGCTATTTCTCCTAATCGTCCAAGTTTGCTGCGATATATTGTTTGTAACTATGTTAATTAAACTTTTATATTGTGTTAATTTTAATTTCATTTTAAATGTTACATTCAATTAATTATTGTATGTGTGTATTTTTGAAATTTATTTGTATATATTTCTTTTAGTTTTAGAGGGCCATGTGTTAGAAAACTCTTAAATGGGTTAATCATGTATATCTACCCTCTCAAAATAAAGAACATTGTATTGTATTGTATTGTATTGTTATACATTTTCTCACCTCAAATAGAAAGACCACGTTCTAAAGAAAGTTTTGTTATAATTCTGGCTGTAAACGAAAGCTAGAGCGATTTTCTTGCCTCGAGTTCATCTTTGAAAAAAGCAAACACCGGGAAGCCGGCTTAAAACATTAACTTTAAGTTTTAAGTTTGAAGACTCGAGACACTTTAATACTATTGTCTTTGTGAATGAAAATTATTGTCTCTCGACATGTTTCACCGCATTATATTTCTTTTATGGATTGTCAGTAGTCTCTCTTGCAATTTTTAATCGCTGTGCCGTTTGTTTTCAGTTGTTCATGAACATCGCTTGCAGGAGTACTCAAAACGCCGCGCGTATCAAACGCTTTTGAAGATTGCACATTGTTATAAAACCACTGAATAAAAAATAAACATGTTAAATTCTTTATTATGTTGAATGGTAACTCTATTAATGTTCATTCAAACACTCCACAGCTCGCAGCTGGCTGGCCGTATAGGTGATTTTGAATTGAAATTTTTTTAAGCGGTTTCGCTAAAAGCCCTCGTGTGCTTCGATCGTCCTGAATATTGAATGAATGCAATTTGTGTTTCAAAATTGTGAAATAGTGCTGTCCGAGGGCTGTATGATAAAAACAGTGCCTAATAGTACTGTTTCACCTCAGATGTGATGTATAAAAAGTATAATAGGTTAGTTTACACGCCCCCAGATTTGTTAGCCCTGGATTTTGTAAAGCAAACTTGTCGAACGCAAAAAAATTCGGCCTGATTTGTTTTCCAAGGATTTGGTTTCCAGGCCTAATCTACTATGATCAAGAGCCATTGCGGCTCTTAAATGTGATCGAAGATGATTGATATTTTTTGGGTGTACATATAAGGCTATCAACTCGATTTAAGATTTGGTTCACTCTTGGGCTGTTTGCAAATTATTTTCCTCTAAAATCACTTAACCTTTCCCTCAAAAGTATATAAATGTGCTCTAAAGTTTACTGATTTGTGGAATACAAGTTTATTGTTTTATTTAAATTACAAATTTATTAACGAGAGCTTCGCTTTTAGCCCTGGCTAAATCTATATATTAGAAAACAACTACGGTGCACACTATTTATGCTTGTTTTTTGTAGTTACTAATTCTGAAATAAACAATAAAGTTTCGGTAAAAATGAATGGCCTGTAATAAATTACATGAAATTCTTTGAAAGCTAAAATGTGGCTTGCTTGGCAATGACAAATTGGCTAAAACAAGCCATCTGATATTACATGATGGTGCGATTTCGCACATTTGACCTCAAATCGCATCTGATCGCACAATTTGAGGAAAATCATATAATTTGTAAAAAAAATTCTAAATTTTAACTTAAATCAAACATTTTCTGAATCTTTACATACATACATTTACATTTTACATACATTTTATTTTATTGTGTTTTGAGGTAAAAGTACAATAACATGTCCGTGGGTAGCTAAGCTAATCTAGGCGGGTCATGTTTACAGGAAATAAATACTAGCCTAACAACAAATACACATATGCAAGAACGCGGAGTGCTAGCTGAAGTGTCCAGTCAGTCTCGCGTCTCGTTTTTGTGTTATTTAAGGTGATTTACCATTAAAGAAAGCCTTGCGAGACATCTGAAACCTTCTATCGCGGTATCTGAGTAGCCATTTTGATTTCATAGACAAGCAGTGTAGTCACTGGTGTAATGGAGTCATGTAATATTAAACAAGTGTCCTTTTTCTTTCTTTCTATCTGTTTTCTTTTCCGGGTCAGGACAAATATTGGACAAAGTTAACTATTTTGTTTTACAATAGATGTTTTATTATTCCTTTACATTCAAATTGTCTGTTAAACAACATTAACGTTACTTTTCTTCTTTGAAACCTGGCAAGACAATGTTAATTAGCCCCGAAAAAATCGCAAAATCATTTATCACATAATGGTCCTATCTTATTGCACAATCTACCCTGAAAATATCGGACAGTTTCTGGTTTTTTATCGCACCCTATCAGATGGGCTGCTAAAAGAAAACTACTGTGCATGCTCGAATTTTTTGCAATAGAAGAAAGTGTCCATGCTACGTGGCAATTACGCCATGCTATTTCTCACTCTCCTTGAGCGGTTGGATGAAAATGAAACACCAAGTCTTTGACTGTGTCTACTCATCTTGGGTCAAGGGCAGTTTCCCATTTCTTTGGACATTCCTTCCTGTAAGCTCATGGAGCTGAATAAAATGGTGCACTAAGAAAACAGCAAAGTTCTTTGTTAGAAACTGCCATCTGTCTTAATGAGAAAATCTGTTCATGTTCCATGGCTGGAAGTTCAGATGGGACCAGAGTCTTGCTGTCCACTGATGGGATCTGATTCTGGTCCACGGACAGGATGACTGGAGTCTTGTCCACTTCCAGCAGCAGTCGTTCGGGTGGCCCACTCAACACACCAATTATTAATGTGTCCAGTTGTTCCATAAACTTCTGCTGTTGTCTACTGATCTGATGCAAGTATCTGACAGTTTCTGTGGATGATGCCATGCAAGAATCCATGGAACAGTTAGAAAAGTCACTAAACAGTCCCTGTGGACTTCATGAAGTATGATGAAGTGGAGAGAATCCTTGAACCAGTGACGGTGACGGGAATGGCAAAAACCTTCATGAAAAACGATGAAGCGGAGTCAATGCTTGAACCTGTGATAGTGACAGGATCGGCGAAAACCTCTGTGCATTTTATTTTTCCAAACAAACACCTACAGTGTTTTTGAATGATAATCTTCTCGCAAAAATTGCATCAGGTGAATGGCTTATTAAACGTGATGATAAAAAGCTATCCTAATGAAAGGTAAATTCAAAATCATTGTCTGTTTGTTCTCCAAGTGTTCAAACAATGTAATAGCCTAAACCTTTGTGCTGAAACAATTCATTGTTTGCGCAATAATAGAACTGGAACGCGGAACATATTACTTGTCCACATAACAAGCATCCAAACTTTGATGCCAAATTTATGGGGTTTCATTGGCATGAACTGCTTAAAAGACAGCCTGCCATTAAATTTCTTCCACAGAAACATTTATGATATTCATTGTATGACATCCTAACTGAACCTACTGTTGCAAATATCATTCCATGTTTGTCACCTATTTACATTCGTATATTGTTTTTACACCCTTACTTTTTTTTGTACATATGCAGTGTCTCCTTACACCGGTTTATCTCCAAGTAATTAAAAAACCCAATTCATTGTCTTCAGTTATAAATTCTTATAAATTTATTACCCTAAGGTGTATTCTATTTGAGAAACATTTGTGTTTCTAACCGAAATTTACACATTTCATCTATTCATATGTAGTTTATGTTGCTTTTCCCTCTTGTCTTTGCAGTGAGGATCAGGTTGCAGATGAGTCAGTTTAAACCCCAGTAAAGCAGACAGGGTGCAAAGAAAATTAATTTTACAGCTTGCCCTTCGGGCAAGCTGTAACCAACATCTACTAGCCCGAAAGTCATTTTTACTAGCCCGAAAAAAATTTTTCACGAGCAGAGTGAAAAAATAATTATTAATTATTCCTTTCTTAATTACACTGTAAGTTAAAAAATTAATGGCTTCATTTCTTCATTACAATAAGCTGTAGTTATTTAACAATAAAATAAGGAATTTAAGTGAAGCTAACGGAATGAAGGTCTAAATATCAGACAAACGTTTTTCTTTGAACACAATCCAAAAAACTACATATTAATGGTAAACCTCTTGTGAAAATGTCCATACTAAATAGAGGTTCATGCTGTATTTACAACCAGTTCAAATACTCTCATTACATCGTGAAATCATTACAAGGTACAACAGGCTACTTGACGCTAGTAGAACGGTCTTCCAAAGCTACAATAACAACTGGTGTGTATATAAGAATCTCAGTCAACAAAGTCGATTTACAACACTACTGTGCTTAAAATATGACAATATGTGCAGTAAACGTTCCAGAACCACGAGTTAAATCACTATTTACAGTATGTGTCTCTTTGTCTTTGCATCCAAAATCCAGTGGGAAATGGTAGGACCAGGACAGTATTCCTTGGTGGAAACATCAGAGGAACGAACCCTCATTAAATCTACCAACCTTCCCTGTGAGATTCGTGTACGTACATTACTCTTAAGCTGGTTTATAGCCGAGAAGCTCCTTTCACACTTGGCTGTGGATGGTGACAGTGTCATCATAAGGTCAACAAGTACGACGCAGTCTTTCACGTCATCAGGTTTTGAAGCTAGAAGATTTGCAAATACATCAACTGGATTGTTTGCCTTTTGTCTGCTGAGTCTGGTACGCAGTAT